CCCCAAAACCCCAAAACCCCAAAACCCCAAAACCCCTTGGTGTTTAGAGGGTATTGAAGCTGAATTAAAGGAGAAACATAGAAGTGTATCTTTGGAGTACACTCTTGGTATGCTTTATTGTCGGCATGTCAGTTTCAGAAGGGATACAATGAGTAGCTTCTTCTCTTGTAGCCCTGTTAGGGCTTAAATGAGTAATAGTTATTTTACTAATATTTTTCTTTGGCTTCGCTTTAGCCTTTTTAATAATATTACCGAAATCAATTTCTTCAGAGATCTCCCTGAGAGATTTTTGAGGTATCTTATGAATTTTAAAAGTAGTGTTCTTTGTGGATTTTCTCTCCAATGTAGCTAACTCTCCTCCAACTATGTTGTAGAAGTCTACTGGTTTTGAATGCTTTCTGATAAATTCAGCAGTAATGTGCTTGTCTTTCCCATGACTTTTAATATCAAGTTCCATCTTTACTCTTGGAGAAGGAAGATCCCTATCATCAATTTGTGAAATAGGAGTTTGTTGTCGAATTATAGGGGCTTTCTTGCTCAAAGCTACTTCGCTATAAATTTCATCAACAGGCTTGTATTTCTCTATTTTTACTAAATTTTGCATCCTAAATGTTGATTTTTTTACGTTACATTGAGATTCTTCTTAACATTCCAGAATTTTTGCCTATTAAGCTCTTATTTAGGTCTCGGAGAAGGGTAGGCTACATTAGGAAGGTTCTTACTCGTTCCTGACTTTTTCAGGGTTGCAAGATGAACCACAGGAGTTTTAAGAATAATAGACCTAAGCTTCATAAATGCTTGACTTTTATATAAATCTTCAACATTTTTCTCAGTCTCAAAGTATAGTTGGCTTTCCTTAACGACTAAAATTTGAGACTATAATTACTGGGATACTTAAACTTTCTCTTGGAGATATTGGAATACACCCGTCTGATATTTGAGGAGTTTGACTCATAACTTCCGTTGAGCCACCTGGAATGATAATAATTTGCCCTCTCAATATTACCGAGGTAGAAATATCTAAGCGTGATTTTGCAATGCTTACTGAATTCCAAGATAATCGAAAGACCTGGCTTCTTGATATTTATCCTCTATTTTCCATGAAGTTTCAAGGAGCTTTTTGAATCACCTGATTGCTTTCTTGAATTCCTTAAGTTGTTGGTATCACAGGCCCATTTCTGTGTAAACATGACACTTGAGTGCATTATCATGAGTAGCTTCTACGATGTTACGTAAATATTGGTAATGCTTGATTGCTTGTCTTGAATTTCCCTTGTTCACAAATACTCAAGCTGCAAGGAAATGAGCTTTATTTCAGACACTCAATATCTGATGCGGAGAGACATATCTCAATCAACTTATGAAGTTTCATTATTCAGGTCTCATACTTCTCTCTATCAAGTAGCTCACGAGAAGTAATGAGTAGTTCTCTGATTATATTATTTATACATAAGTATGAGTATTTTTCTGTCGTTCTGGAGTACAGAGATCTCTGCTTCTGTTAATTCACAATAAGCCCCGAGCTGTTCCTTATTTCCGCAAGCGTGAAGCTATGCTTTCTACTTCATTATTTATAATTTATAACTTTAGGTTTTAAGAAAGGCTTTGTGCTTAACCATCGATTCTTCCTACAGCTGTTTTAAAGAAACCTTACTGGAGCTTTGGAGTAGCCATGTGATCTCGGTTTAATGATTGGGTCTTACATGCTTCCTTCATCAGGTTATCTAGATCTTTTAGAACAGAGCTTTTGGAGAGCCAGATTTTGAGATTTATAAAGAGAAGAATTATTTTTAATGACTGCATTAAGATATAGTTTAGAATAAAACTCTCAGAACTTATATAAATTGTTCGTTTCTATTAGGATAGTTTTCTCAAAATATCCCTTAATATTCCAATTCTGGGAGACACTTGAATTTCAACTGAAAGTAGATTTGATAACAGCTAAGTTTAAATATTTAATATCTAAAGAATTTTGGCGATCTAAGCTACATGTGCGCATAATGTCTATGACTGGATGTCTAAAAAGTGTCAATCCTTGAAGTATTCACCAATCCAGAGTCCAAAAGCACAGCTTAATCTTTACCTTGTTTGCATAGATTCATCACGAATTCTGATTTAGAATTGAGCATAGAAGTGGAAGGCCATCCGTCCCCATCACTAGCAGAGAGGGTTTTGAAAAGCAGGCTAAATATTAATTCTACAGCTTACTTCCGAGAAGGCTCTTGAGATTTGCCTGGTGATTTTTTGAGTTCCCATTTAAACGTAAAATTCTTTCTAGATGAACCAGGTTTTTTCTTCTTGCCTGTTGGGCCATAAATCCGGCTAAGAGGAGTTAGAAAGAAGCATACTTGAATTCCTCAGTTAGATCATGCTCATTTTTGGATTTCTTCATGACCTTTGAAGGAGGTTTTCTCTGTGTGAACATTGTGAAATTTTTCATTTTATATTATGATATTTATAATATTTTCAATGAGAATATTGAAATATGGGGTTTTGGGGTTTTGGGGTTTTGGGGTTTTGGGGTTTTGGGGTTTTGGGG